TTGTTTCTCACATCTATATAGTAGAACTGCATAGTTGTTAACCTCAGACTTATAAACTGTTTGGTCAGGCGCGCACACGATTTGGAACTAGAAGTATGCAATTAGGCGACCGACTAAAAAAAACCCCAAACACAATACAGTGCCATGCTAAATATAAACTACTACAAACAGAGATTTTTTTTAATGTTTTAACAAGGCAAGGAAACTGTTTCTGTGCTTTTTATTTAAATTAAAATGGTAAAAGCAGCATTTTTCTTTTGAATGGTTAAAATTTGAAACCTGTATAAAGTCAGTGTTCAGTTGTAAATTTCTGAAAACAGCGTGTGTGTGTGTGTGTGTGTGTGTGTGTGTGTGTGTGTTGTGTTCAGAGTTATGAATAAGTTTCATTCCTGAGGTGGTGGTAACTGAGATTCTACTGTACATCCATTTTTCTCAGTTTCAAGAGTATGAGATGTTAATTCAGATTGTTAGCAGTAATAGTTTCTGTTTTCTTGTGCAACTTCCATTACCAACCTCACTTTCATTTCAGAGCCAAAGTTACTGGTTTTTAAAATGAGTTTCAACTGCTTCTCCAGGGTCTCATAAGTCCAAAATGCTTTTATCCTGTTCTCCCTTATGCATGAAATGGCCCCTAATTCTAACTATTGCCAAGAAACCATCCTTTTATATCACTCACTTACTTTAGGGACATTTAAATGGTAATAAATGGAGAATTACAAATCAGCCTCTTTCTCTAGGCCATCCAATAAATCCTGTATTCTAGATTAGTCCTTCTTCTGTGAAATTCTTCTCCTTAGGACAGCATCAATGGCACTGGTGGCTTTGCACAAGTGACATCCCAAATCTAACTGGGAGCTATGTAAAGTCCTCTGCAATAGAGTAGATTGCTTTTAAGTCAATTTTAATCATGTTAATTTACCAGATGATGGTTACCGGTTATAGTTTAACAGGGAGGGGCTGGAAGAGCACAGTCCACAGTGGGGTGATAACCAATTACCTGATAAGTATCTCGGTGTTTCCCAATTTTATTTGGCCACGGAACCCTTCTAAACTTGGAAGAATTTTGAGGAACCCCTACAGCCGGGGTACCCTAGGGTACCCAGGGGAATATTTGTCGAGCCCCCTCCCCCCCCCAAAAAAAACAACCCCAGGAAGACAGTCTGGTATATAGAGCTGAAAAAGTAGACCACAAATAAGTAGGGATAATAATGAACAAATGCTAAATAAGGTAAAGAGATCAACATTTAGTTTAATTGCACATATTTAAAAACAAAAATCACATTTAATGTGTACAAAAAAAAAAGCTCAAACGAATATGAATTGTATTGGCAGTTTTCAATGTGAAGAGTAGCTTTTCTTTTCTTGGCAAATTCTTTATATATTTTGTTTAATATTAAAAAGTTGGATTTGCATATCTAGTGCTGCATTCAGTCAATTTCTGTATTTTGTTTTTGTTGCTGCATAATTCGAGACCCCAGTTTCACATGAGTAAGTGCTGGTGAAGTAACAACTGATGAATTGCACGTCTTGATAAAGCTGAATATTCTTGACATAAGCCACCCCAAAACATAATCAGAGAAACTTCTTTACCTTGTATTTATTGGGCATCTGAAGTGATTTCGATTAGGTTTTCATAATCTTGCATAGAAACACTGATCGGCTTTCCTGTTACACTTAATGGATTTCAAATCCAGTTATTGTTGTCATTTATGGTTGGTAAATACTTCATGATGTTTGTGTGTAAATCATAAAGATCTGCAGCCTCCTGGCCAGGAGGCAAGAGTACAGGAGATAGCTTGGGACAGGGTGTCTGGCCAAGAGGGGAGCTTGGGGCAGGGTGTCAGAGCAAGCTGGGAATGTGGGCTCTTGATGGGGGGAGGAGAGGGGAGCAAGGGAGATATGGGTGCAGGGTCTGGGCATGAGGGGGGATGCTTAGCTGGCTTGGCACCCTGCTGCAGCAGGGAAAGCCTCCAGGCTGTTCCTCGGAGGGCGGGGGGGAGAGGGAGGAAGCTCAGTCCCCCTCCTTTCCCAGCCCATTCAGTGGGGAACCCAGCACGGCTACCCCTCTGATACTTGACACTCAAGTGTGTTACCATTTAATTAAATTGTCACATTTCTCAAATAGATTAAATTTGCTTTTCTAATACAGAAAACATTCTTTTGGGAAAACCTTTCCGGTTGCCTTATAAAGAATCAAAAAGGGCATCTTTTTCTTTATAGGTCAGCTTAATTAAACTGGTCATCTTGTTTTGCCTGCTTCTCTTTACCAGACTGCATTTATACACTTAAAGGATTCTAGATGGCCCCTTGTAAAGGCAGTCTCTTGTAAGTGTTTCGCTTCATGTTAACTCATTGATGTGAGCATTCAAAAATCCACTGCTATTCCCATTGATCCAGATGAATAACTTTTTTTGATTCTAATTATACCGACTGCCTGCTAGTAAGCCACAAGTAATCTTCACAGAATAAATTAACATTCATAACCATAGTCTTTTGAAGCATAAAGAGTTGTTTTAAATAGTCTTACTATGTATGTTAAACTCGGCTTCAGCAGTCTAACAGGAAAACATCGTGTTTGCCCATTAGAAGGGGAAGCTGCATGAACTAAACACACAAGAATTTCAGAGTTGACTGTGCATACACGTGCAGCTGTGTCTGTTCTAAAAAATGGGAACTGTATTGCTATCACTGGTGAAAGCTTTTTTTGCCACCTCCAAGAATATTTCCAAACCACCAATGAACATCAATCTGATCTACAAGATCCCCCCTATCAACACCACAGGAAAAATAATTCTATATGGAACTCCCCCTGACGGTCGGAATTACAATCTGGATTTCTACATACAAAGCTTCTGCAACAACGCACAGACTGACATTATTCACAAACGACAACAAATGACACAGTCTCAGCCATGCTGAACACTATGCCATCCAGAGTCTCAAAAACAACCCGGACATTATAATCAAACCAGCTGACAAAGGGGGTGCTGTGGTCATTATGAATAAGGCTGACTATAACCAGGAGGCAACCAGACAAGTCTGCAACACCACATTTTACAAACCTCTCTCCTCTGATCCCACCTCGGAATACCAAAAGAAACTACACTGTCTCCTTAAAGGCCTCCCTACAGCTACTCGGGAACAAATCCACACAGAAACACCTTCTGAACCCCGACCAGGATTGTTCTATCTGCTTCCCAAAATCCATAAACCTGGACACCCCGGACGTCCCATCATCTCAGGTATCCGCACGCTCACTATTGGTTTATCCAGCTATGTAGACTCTCTTCTCAAACCCTATGCAACCAACACCCCCAGCTATCTTCAAGATACTACTGACTTCTTAAGAAAACTACAAAACATTGATAACCTCCCCGATAACACCATCCTTGCCACCATGGATGTAGAAGCTCTATATACCAACATCCCACATGAAGACGGATTACAAGCAATTAGAAACACTATCCCAGAGGACACTACTGCCAACCTGATAGCAGACCTATGTAACTTTGTTCTCACCCACAATTATTTCCAGTTTGAGAACAACTTATACCTCCAGATCAGCGGCACAGCCATGGGTACACGCATGGCCCCACAGTATGCTAACATCTTTATGGCTGACCTAGAACAACGTTTCCTCAACTCCCGTCCCCTTTCACCCCTCCTCTACCTACGGTACATCGATGACATCTTTATGATCTGGACACATGGCCAAGAAACACTGGAGATATTCCACAGAGATTTCAACAACCTACACCCCACCATCAACCTCAGCCTGGACCATTCTACACGAGAGATCCACTTCCTGGACACCACCGTACAAATCAACAATGGAAAATTAGACACCACTCTCTACAGAAAACCCACTGACTCATACAGTTACCTACATGCATCCAGCTCCCATCCAGAACACACCACACGATCCATCGTCTATAGCCAAGCCCTTCGATACAACCGCATCTGCTCTAACCCCACTGACAGAGACCAGAAGCTTCAGGATCTCTACCAAGCATTTATAAATCTCAACTACCCACCCAGAGAAACAAAAAAGCAAATTGAAAGAGCCAGACGAATACCTAGAAACCATCTACTTCAAGACAGACCCAAGAAAACCAACAATAGAACACCACTTGTCATCACCTACAACCCCCAACTTAAACCTGTCCAACACATTATCAATAAACTACAGCCTATATTGGAACAGGATACCATACTCAAAGAGGCTCTGGGAGACAGACCCATAGTCTCCTATAGACAACCACCTAACCTCAAGATGATTCTTACCAACCACCACAGGACATACCACACTAATACCAACCCTGGTACCTTCCCTTGCAACAAACCCCGTTGCCAGCTTTGTCCACATATTCATTCTGCTGATACCATTATTGGACCTAACCAAGTGAGTTATAAGATCAAGAACACATATTCCTGCGCATCCAGAAATATAATCTACGCTATCATGTGCCGAAAGTGTCCGTCTGCTATGTACATTGGACAAACATCTCAGACACTTCGCCAAAGGATTAATGCCCACAAAACAGATATCAGACAAGATCACAAAGAGAAAACAGTTTCTTGCCACTTTAACCAGAAAGGACACTCTCTAAATGACTTAGCCACCTGCATTCTGCTACAAAGACCTTTTACATCTGCACTTGAAAGGGAATCCTCTGAACTGTCATTCATGTTAAAATTCGACACTTACCAACAAGGACTTAACAAGTCTTTGAACTTTCTCACCCATTACCAAGACAGTTTCCCCAATTATCACCTGTAATACCATTAACTCACAAACATCCCACTCTCCCTACCTTTAATATCAGCAATTCACAGACACTTACCTTCCTTCCTCCCCCTTCCCACCCCCCCGCATCCCCCTTCTGTTCTGCAATGTGATTTGTCCTTTTCATATTTGTTCATTTTTTTAAATTGTATCCTTTGGTATATATGGTTGTGACTACTTGATTTCTTCACCAAAAAACAGGACTGCCATTGAGAGAATTGCAACCATGGCATAAAACAGAGTTGGTCTGGTTCAGTGGAGTACTGGAGTTGCCTGTAGTGTAGATCCAATTTGTTTTAAAAGCACTTCTGGAAGTCTGAACTCTTCCATCATATTTAATTGTTTAAAGCTTTAATTCATGATTATACAATAAACAGAAGAACAGGTTTTCCCCTCTTCTGTTATCTTCTGGCTTGAATTGTTTTTCATGATTGCTTTACCTTGTTTGTTTTACAAGGATGACTATCTTTTTCTGTTTTCTGTCCCAGAGCTTAATACTTTGTATGTGTTTGCACAGCAAAGGAAAAACCTGCAGCTGGCCTTACTTTAGCTGACTTTGGGATTCTGCAAGGTGGGAGGATTCCAGGGCTTCAGCTCCAGCTCCGGCATGGAAATCTACCTGGCCCCTAGCCCAGAGCCCTGTGAGCCAGTGTTGGCTGTTAGTTTTTATTTTTTTTCTTGGATGTGTAGACATATGCCCTTTGCCTTATTTCTGAGCATCTAACAACTTGACCATTTTGCATGTGGGGTCTTTTAGGGTCTGGATAACAAATATCTATATTCTAGGCCAGGCATGTCCAAAGTCCGGCCCGCGGGCCAATTGCGGCCCGTGTTCCGGTTTAATACGGCCCCCCAGGTAATTTGTCAATATCTATCTTTTAAGGCCCCCAACGAATCCATATGTATTGAGATGAATACATTGTAAAATCTCAGTTAATGTCAGTTGGTCTAAATCAGTTATAAATATATTTGGACACAACATGTATACTTGGTGTTATGTTCCTGTTCATATTTTTTGAACTTAAAAGTTGACAGACAACCTTTATTACCAATAATATGTAATGTACTTTACAATGTTCCTGACATATATTTCAGCTTCCTGGATTTTTTTTTCATCTGGCCTTCAGATATGAAAGGCAGAGTGATTTAACACCTGTTTAGATTTGTCATCCATGTGACGAAATGAAAAGTATGCCGTTTGCAATAAACTTTGCATAAAATAGTTAATTTGCATTTAATTTTAATGGTTCAAAGAATGTCAGGCAAAATGGTCGGCCCTCACGCATGTTCACTTCATCAAATCTGGCCCTCTTTGAAAAAAGTTTAGACACCCCTGTTCTAGGCTATGAGTCTTTAATTTTGTGTGTCCCAGGACTCCGGGAAATATTTTCTCTTCCTTTGTGCTTAGGCACCACTCAGCATACTGTTTGTTGTTCCCTCTTGTTTGACCTTTCACAAACTTCCCAACTTGCTTTCCTGATCAAGTCAATCTCTTGTTAGGATAAAGGGCACAACTGACTTTTTAGTTTGCAACAACTGTGGTTCCTTTAAGGTTTCCAGTTAACCAGTAGTTCTCTACAATAGGGATGTAAAATTCCAGTTAATCAGTTAAACTTAACATTTAATCAGTTAACTGATTAAATGGGGGCGGGGAAGCAGATCCCGTGCCCCTAGCTACTTCTGACCCTGTGTTGGGCTGCCAGCTCCCTCCCAACCCCATGTTGGACAGGGGGCTGCTCCCAAGTAACCAGTTATCTGTTCACATCCTTACTCAACACGGGCTCCTGATGCACATTAGGTGAAGCTGTTCATTATGACTCCAGATGGGGCGTTCTGAAATAATTGAGCAGGAAGGCTTATGCTCCTTGATCTTGGGAGGCATCAGTAAAATCGCCCTAATCATGTGGCATGCCTCTAAGACAGTGGTTCCCAACCTTTTCCAGATGGGGACCCATTTTGACAATTCAGGAAGACTTGGTGACCCACAGCAATTCAAAAACGGGGGGAGAGGGAGGGCAGAGACACTTGGCGACCCTTTTGCAATGTAATGGTGACCCATAGGTTGGGAAACCCTGCTCTAAGATTAGTGAAATGGTTGATGAGACCTTTTCCTGGGACCTTGTGCTGTGTGTGTGACTCTTAAATTAATTGTGCCATATTTAGTTTGTGTAGAGGATTTCTGGCTCTGAGCTCCTGAAGTCACTTTTTGCAAAATGTCTTTAATAGTTACAGCTTTTTATGTGTGGTGTACATATTTTGCTCCCTATTTGATTTATTACATTAGTTATTGAAATATAAAACTTCATGGCACTGGAAAGAGGCTACATACCTGAAGATAGTTAATGCTGTTGTTCTGACAGGTTTGTCTTGTATGGAGACACGAGTGGCTGTGTGACTTTTGAAGTGGAGAAGATATGGAAACTAAATTTTACTTGTTCTGTGGCCTGTCCTAATTTTTTTTATTTAATATCTTTGTAACTTAGTTCTAAACTGGATACTGGTTGGGTTCACAGCACAAAGATTAAATCTTTATTTTAAAAAATGGCAGAGTTTCACATTATCGTTGCCAAATCATCAAGTTAAAGTTGCTGGTGGACAAATGACCTTTAAGAACTACTGCCAAACTTTGTTTGTTTAAAAGAGAAAGTCACACTTCTATCTGGAAGTTTTTACCTAAGATTGTTAATAATTGAAAGATAAGTAGGGTTGTCAAGCAATTTAAAAACATTAATACGGCTATTTAACAGTGGAATGCCATTTATTTAAATATTTTTGGATTCTTTTGAATTGTCAAATACGTTTCAATTAGAACACAGAATACAGACTGTACTATGCTCACTCTATTTCGATTACAATTATTTGTTCTGTAAAAATAGGTTTTCAATTTCCCTAATACAAGTACTGTAGTATAATCTTTTTATCATGAAAGTTGAATTTTCAAATGTAGAATAATGTACAAAAATATAAAATTTTAGCGCCTAAAGCATACTATTTCAGCCAGTCACTAAGACAAGTTTGGTTATAATTTGCAGGCAGTAGTGCTGCCTGCTCTTATTTACAATGGCATGTGAAGTAGGGATGTTAAGTAGTGATTGATCTGCTAGTCCAGTAGTTAATGGCATTTCCATCGTCTTGTCAATAAGCACTTTCACAGTTAGCCTTTGAAATGTACAAGAGTCCTTAGCAGGGGTTCTTGTGCATTTCGAAGTTGGAACACAGTGGGGAGCCCAGGGCCAGCAGGAAGTTCCGCTGACTCTGGGCTCCATGCGGGCGCTTCTTGTTTGAAATGCACAAGAGCCCTCTCTGGGACTCTTGTACTTTTCAAAGCTGGCATGCCTCATGGAGCCCAGGGTCCCAGCTGATCCAGGGCTCCATGCGGCGCTGCCACTTTTAAGTACCCTCCTTCCTTCCTTCCCTCTCCACCCTTCCGCTACCTCTGTCAGAGGCAGCAAGGGGGGCGCAACTAGTCGACTTTCCGGTAAGTATCTGGTAAGTATTTGCTTATTGGATAGTTGACTAGTCCTTTACATCCCTAATCTGAAGGTGATAACAGAGGTTCTTAAGGCACTGCTATAGCCAACATTGCAGTAGCCAGCATTAGAATATATTTGAGCCAGATGTAAAGATTTATATGTTCTTCCATGCTGCAACCACCGTTCCAGAGGAGATGTCCATACTGGTAGGATTTCCATCGACTATTTGTTTAGTCTATAAGGGCACCTCCACCTTTGCCGGGGTCTTGCTACAGTTCAAAAGCGGAAGCCCCACGGGGAGCGTAGGGCCAACGGGACTCCCATGCTTCCTGCATGCCTCAGCATTTGAAATGTACAAGTGCCCCAGTGGGGTGCTTGTACATTTAAAAAGAAAGCCCTACAGGGAGTATGAGACCTGCCCTGCCCCTGCCCAGGCTGCAGAGCCTTAGGGGAGAGAGGTGCTTTATGTGACTGCCTGTTGTGGAGATCGGCAGCTCCCATTGGCTAAAAACTGACCAGTGGGATTGTGCTGGGTGCAGGCAGAGTCATGAAGCACCTCTCCCCGTGCTCAGTTTGTGAAGCAAAAACAGCGTGGCAGCTACTTTTCTCAGTGGCATGTGGGGGCAGGCAAGCAGAATAGTCTGCCTGAGGTTCCCTGCTGCATCCACAGGCTGGATCCGGTGGCTTGGCGGCCCGAATCTGGCCCACGGAGGGTGTTTTGCCCAGGCCTACCCTAGGCTCTAGAGTTTGAGGGGAATATGGGGAGTGTCTCTTTCTCAGTTGGGGGCAACTCAGAGAAGGTTTTAATTTTTTTTGTTTTTGTTGCTTCTCACTTGTGTGTGGCCCCCAACTGATTTTTCTGTGGGTCAGCAGCCCCTGACCCAAAAAAAGATTTCCCGCTAGTGTTCCCTCTAAGCTGCTTGGTGGCACAGCTTCACAGTCAATTAATCAGCTCTGCCCAGTCAGAGGCTCAGAGCTCCCTCCATAGAGCTGACTGACAGGGCGGGACTGATTAATCACTTGTGAAGCTGTGCTTCTTGTTCTAGAGCAGGGGTGTCCAAACTTTTTTCAAAGAGGGCCAGATTTGATGAAGTGAACATGCATAAGGGCCGACCATTTTGCCTGACATTCTTTGAACCATTAAAATTAAATGCAAATTAACTATTTTATGCAAAGTTTATTGCAAATGGCATACTTTTCATTTCGTCACATGGATGACAAATCTAAACAGGTGTTAAATCACTCTGCCTTTCATATCTGAAGGCCAGATGAAAAAAAAATCCAGGAAGCTGAAATATATGTCAGGAACATTGTAAAGTACATTACATATTATTGGTAATAAAGGTTGTCTGTCAACTTTTAAGTTCAAAAAATATGAACAGGAACATAACACCAAGTATACATGTTGTGTCCAAATATATTTATAACTGATTTAGACCAACTGACTTTAACTGAGATTTTACAATGTATTCATCTCAATACATATGGATTCATTGGGGGCCATAAAAGATAGATATTGCCAAATTACCCGTAAACCGGAACACGGGCCGCAATTGGCCCGCGGGCCGGACTTTGGACATGCCTGTTCTAGAGGGAACACTATTCCCCACCCCTGTATTTGCCATCACTCTTATTCAGATCTTTCACAAACTAGAAGAGTAACACCTTTTTTAAAATTAGGAAAACCGCAAATATTGTAAGACTACAAATATTGCATGAGCTGTGTGGGGTCTCTGCTTCTAGCTCTGTTGTGAAATTTATTTCTTGTTGATGGTATCCTTGTCAATTTGCAAGAGAAGAGACATTTCAACCTTTTTCCCTGGGCCTTGAACAGAGCAGTGCTTTGTAGATTCCCCAAGATAATCTAGGGTACATCTACACTGCAACACTATTTCAAAATAACTAGCACTATTCTGAAATAAATTAGTCCATGTCTGCACAGCAGGCAGTTATTTCGAAATAGTGTCAAAATACTGTCAAGCTGAAGGACTACTTACTCTGATTCCTGTAACCCTCTTTGTATGAGGAGTCAGGGAAGTCAAAGAAGAGTGCTTTATTTCGGAGTAAGTGCTGTGAGATGCTCACTATTTTGAAATAAGCTATGCAATTAACATAGGTTAATTTGTGTAGCTTTTCGAGTTTAAGTCCTGCAGTGTAGAGACACCATTAGTGTTTGAGTCATACTGTCAATGGTACTAATGTATTTAGAGTTCTTTACAAAGAAACAATGGACTCTGCTCTTTTGTTTCAGGAAATACAAATAAGGGAACCCACAGAAAAGGAAGTAAATCTTCAATTGTTACCAGGTAACTGCTGTGTTGCATTGTTTTTTGAATGTAGAATATAAAATTGTCATTTCATGAAGATGTGCTATAAAAATATTCTCATTTGTTTGGTGCAGTAAACATTCAAAAGACATCTGTATCTTGAGTAGTAAATAGAGGATGAAAGGTAAGTAACCATAAAGGCTAAACGTTCTGTTTGCATCTGCATGGCTCTGAAATCCAAAGTTGGCATTTGTTTAACCTTGAGTACTGTGTTTACAGGTGTCCTGCATGAGGAAGAATTGTGCCCATGTTTTAAGTTTCTGTATTTTTCTAATGAAGACTTAGAAGGATATAGGATATAAATTTAGGTTGTGTTTTGTCTGAAAGTGTGACAGGAGATCTAGTGCACTGTCCTCAAGAGTGCAAGTTGAGCTATTGTAAAAGATTTTGTAGTTACAGTTCCAAATTACACATTTGTTTTACACTTGTGTTTTTTACAGCTATTCAACTTCAATGACTAACCTTTTAGATAAAAAGCTTTTATGTTAGGAATGACAATAAAATCCGTGAGAACCTCTAAATATTCTCCAACAAACAGTGTCAAATGTTGTTGTAGTAGTAGTAGTAGTAAAACAAGAATTCAAGCTTTTGAATTCTTCAAAAAGAAACTAGAAATGGTACAAACCTAACTGTTAAAAATTCTTTAGTCTGCTTTTAAGTCTTTACTGTGTCCTATGAAAGGACAGCAAAAACTCATGCAATTAGCATTAAGCTTGGAGCTTACAATCTTTGCATGTGGGGTGTAGAGCTTAGTTCTGGTCATTACAAATGTGGGCTTTGAATATCCTTTGCACCTGTGGAATCTGTGTACTGTTGATAACACATCAAATGCATGTCATGATTCCGTGCCAAGACAGCATTAAGAGAGTTATGGTTGTAGATAGCAATTCATACGAAAGCATTAGCATGCTGTAGGCTACAAAAACTTGACAGTGAGAATTTATAGTTGAGACTTTTGATTTCATGAAAGAAGTTGACTTTAATCTCCATGACACTCAATGCTCTCCCTGTCTACAACACACTGAGGCAGCATTGCTTTGTTTCTCCAGTATGCCTCCAATTTGAACCTAGAGCAGCCACTTAGATTGGACCCATGTAAGCTCAATTTATTCACAAGGGTACAATTTGTAATATGTAAATTTTCCATTAGAAATTAATATTAGCAGTTAATTTCAAAAGCCATTGACCAGTTTTTGAGCCAGTAAACTTGAGAGAGAGAATCCCTATATAAGAAGTTCCCTTGAGCCATTTCTGTGTGGGTTTTTTTTTATGGCACTTCTGTGCCATGGTAAATTCAACCAATGAATGGATAGGAAGTTTGAACTCGGTTAATGCTGAGTTGGAGGTTGAATAGTTTACTTTGTATATTAATATTTACAATGTTCCACAGTGGTGCAAACTAAGACTCTGTTTATTTCAATCAGGTGAATTGCTGCTCTGTGAGGCAAGCAGAGTATTAAAATGTGTACAAGAAGACGGTTCAAATCGTGGCACCTATGGGAAACTTATTTGCACAAACTTCAAGATTGCTTTTCTTGGTGATGAATCTTCTGCAGATGATGTAGGAAGACAAACTTCATTTGGCTAAGTCTTGTGAATGTGACTTCTTAGAGGCAGTGTGTATTGCTTGCTATGTAGCCCTTGACCCACTCTTCCCCCCACCAACCGGTATTGTTAGAGGGAGTGTTACAAAGAAATAAAATGGAATGCTTTGTAGCAAGCTTTGTATGTGGCACTACATACCACTAAACCCTGTTTGTGCATTTAATGTCCAAACAGGGCCCTCTTTAGTCATGACAGAGAACTTTTATTTCATGGGTCCATCTTTTCTGTGAGAGGTCACAACTTTCTCCTCAAAAGCATTTTTGTCCCAAACAGTCATAATATAGAGATGATAAAACTAATGCAGTCCTATTTCTAGTAGAAGTCTCAGTCTCTAGTTCATGCTCTGTTTTAGAACTACTACTACATTATTGAAAATTGCTCCTGTGAATAATGCATTTTCTATTATAATACAGGCAGTCCCCGGGTTACGTATAAGATAGGGACTGTAGGTTTGTTCTTAAGTTGAATTTGTATGTAAGTCGGAACTGGTACATATTGTAGGGGATACTCTAGCCAAACATTTCTCCAGAGCTCAGTTTTATTCTCCCACACCTCACTTCCCTCAGTCCTTTATTCTCAAGCTGAGGTGTCTGCTGAGAGAAGCCGCTCCGTGTCTCCCTGGTCTGCTGGGGGGAAGCAGCTAGTGTGGGGTTGCCTCACCCCGTTTGTAAGTAGGGATCCGATGTAAGTCGGATCCATGTAACCCGGGGACTGCCTGTACTTAAAGACTAAGTCCATGATTGTTGCAAGTGGGGATGGGTTTGACTGAATGCGTTCTTCTGAATGCTGAGTGCAAGCCCTTGTGGGCATTTGTAAGCACTCTTAAGTCAAATTTAAATTTGTTAATAGCCATTCCATGTGAATTGGTAGGTAGTCTGTACAGGTCAAGTTTAAATCTATTTTACTGTCCAGACAAGTGCTTTTACTGGTTTAATTAAATCTTAAACACCTCTTCAGTTTTAAAAAAAACCCAAAGTGTATCTTTAGATCTGTTCAACTTATAATGTCGAGTCTAGTCTGTTATTTATCTGGCCTCATTAGTGTAATATTTGAATGCCCCCACAAGCTTTTATCCTCACAAACCCTTGTGAGATACAGAGCTATTTGCCTCAATTTATAGATGCAGAACTAAGGCATGCAGGGGCCTGGTCTACATTGTGAAGTTAGCTTGATATAAGTTACTTTGTGTCGATCTATTTGTGCATGTACTGATGTAAGTATCCTATTACAATATGGTAAAACCACTTCCTTGCATGGCGCAGAGCTATGGTGGGCCTACTGAGATCAATGCAGCAAGAAGGTAGTAGACACTGCATGATCTGTGTCAACCCTGGTGGCAGTTGTTCACAGGGCAACAATAGTGAAATCTGCTGCCTGGGGTCATGGAAACTGGAAGCCTTCCTCTCCACATGTCCTCTGTCCCCAACATGTATTTTTGAAATGCTTTTGATTGTGCTTCTTAGTGGGCAGTTTAGTTAGTCATACTAGCCCCACACCCTAGATGCGCTCCTGCCTGGAGTAGACAGGAGGTGTTGGACCAGGTGTAGAAATGTAGATTTCTACCAGCTGATAGTTTGGGGGATGCAGACAAAGAAGTAGAAGAGGGATCAGCATCAGTGCTACATGAAAGAGAAGGAACTGCTGCAATATGCCACAGTGAAAGACTGTCACAGATCTGTGCTGAGCTGTAGACTTGCCTCTATGTATTCTTCAAGGTGCGTAGTGGACCTTCTCTTATATTGATATGGGCTGGGTAGGGAAGTGCTCCAAATTATCCACCAGTGCTAGCATAACAATAGAAAAATAGCCTTTTCCATTCATATACTCTGTGGCACTGCACATTGTTAAAGTGCAATTGGGACTACCCAACCCTCCCACCCCCACTTCCCTGGCGCCCTTTAGGGAGGACGGAGGTTTGAAGCACCTCCTCTTCCCAATTGCATGGGCACGCATAAAACCATACAGAAGAGAGACAGAATTACCAGGCAGGTGATCTTTGTCAGAAAGCAAGGGGAAACTTCTCAGTTTGCTGCCTTCCTGACTCTGAGGAGAATGGGGGCAGATGAACCTGGACCTGCTCCAGTTGCGGGGGCATGTACCCCTTTCCACTGGAGCTGCAGTGGCCATGGAAAGGTGCTTCCCACCTGGCCCCAACCTGCTGCTGGGAGAGGGGGCTGGGGTAGTCCTCTCTTCCCCAGAGCAGCCTGAATATTGAACCCTGCACCCTCAGCCTCACCCCATACTAGTGATTTAAATGAAGGATGTACATTTTCAATTTCTTTTCTTAAACAAAAATTGAGTTAATGACCTGAGCAACCCTGGGTAAGTCGTTTATATCATACTTGAGATGCATGACAGTAATATCAGACTACTTTCAGAATCGACTTAAAGGTCTAATCTAAAAATGACCGTTGAAAACTTTCACAATTTAATTTTATGTTCATATAATTTACTTCTGGAATACATATGCTCAGTTAACATGCAAAACTTTTCAACGACAAACTGCAAACTCATATGGGGTTTGAGTTTCATACACTCATAACCATTAGTAACAAGTTCTGAAGACAAGGTTTTGTCTGCCTTTAAAGATATTACATGACTGAAAGCCATGTATAATTTGGGTGAATATAAACTAGTTCAGTCTCCCACTCTTGCTTTAAAAGGCCAATAGGTAAAAAGGAGATTAATGCTTGTTAATAAAGTAAATAATATGTTCACTAAATACATAGGTGATAGTACTCTTGAGGGAAAAATGCTCTTGTCTAGTTTGACTATAATGTGCTTCATTACTGGAATTTTGTATAATATGAAATGTTTTGTCTTGTAGGAACCAGAATTTAAGAATAAGATCATAGAAGAAAATGACATAACTCTGCATTGTGTAGACCACATTTATGGAGGTAGGCTTGCTTCCCTCCCTCTTTTATCCTATGTTTCATATAACTCTAAAGATATCAGCTAAAAGTTTTTAACATATTTAACTATTGATAGTCAATGTAATTTAGATTCCTAAATGCCAGCATTGATCTTGAAAATGACATTTAGGCTCCTAAATTAGTTAATGTTGCAGTAATCCCTTAATACGTTTAAAAAACCTGGACTTTGTACTTTTGGTTTGCAAATGTGTCTACTTAGGATAAGTAACATAATTGCAATGTGATACTTTCATCGCTTAACTTGGAATAAATAGTGAAGTGAAACATGGATGAATTAATTTTTTTTACATTCATCTTTCCTATTCTTTCAATTAAAGATTGGTTTGAACATAAAATACAGCATAAGTCAACATGTTGTTTGATGCAGGTCTTTCACAGCTTTGAAAAATTCTTTGATTCAGGCTAGTCCTTATGGTTTACCCACTTCGTTAACGTACTGGGATGAAACTGGAAAATCTAAATTTTGTCTAAGTTTCTGATTAGGCCGATTGGAAGTTAATTTAAGTGAGATGTCACTATTCTTGGCACAGTGCTCCTAGTAACATATCTGGCGACAACTGGACCACATTGGCTTAGTAGATGTGGGACCATTCTCAAGTGTTTGATGCACAGAGCCATAAAAGTTTTTCAATTTATTGGTTCTAAGTAATAGCACATCAGAACAATTTAGATATTGAGTTGCCAAGTGATTATTTCATGCTTCTGTGGTAGACTTACAGAGAAATGCAACCTGAAAATAAAAAAATCTTTTCAATTTTATCTCAATGTTAGAAGAAGGGGTCGAAAGGGAGGAAAAAAGAAATTTTTACCAAAGATTGGATTCAGCATACTTGAAATGTCTTAGACAAGTCTATCATTTGTAATATTAAATAAAAATTGAAAGCCAGTCTGAACTTATAATTAATATGATGAAGGGGGAATGATTAATATGATGAAGGGGGAATGAGTGTAAAGTCTGGAGGAGAGCAAGGAAGATTAATTTGTCCAATAGAGAGCAGATCTTTAACACAACAGTGACAGGAGAGTCTGATAATTAAAATATTTTAAAATAATTCAACTTCAGAATGGTCATCTCCAGATCCTTCCCTTACTTGGAGACATTTAAGCAATGTCAACTATACAGTTGCTCTCATGCCATGACGCTCTGCTGTTCTCTCCAAAGGTTATTGTTTTCCTCTCCTTTTATCCTAGCTCACACAAAATTATGGGTCCCCTCTCTCCCTGCTCTCCTCCAGACTTTACACTCCTTCCCCTTCATCATATTAATTACAAATTCAGACTAGCTTTCAATTTTTATTTAACATTACAAATGATAGACTTGTCTAAGACACTTCAAATGAACTGACTCCGGTAAGCTGAATCCAGTATTTGGTACAAATTTCTTATTTTTTTTTGCTTTCTACTGGACAAATTAACCTCTGATATGGGTTGCATGAATACTTGTGATTTGCAGTGTGGCATAGCTAATTGATTAAATTTGCCACATTCAACAAATATTATGTAAAAATGATAGGTTAGTGGCTATGTGGGCACCAAAGGCTAGTTCAGATGAACACTTGTTGAAGAGGCTGGCCAGAGCCAGCCCACCAAGCCGCTGGACCATGGGCTGCTTCAGAACAGACCCATGCTGCTGTAAGTGGCTCTCTGCTCTGGGTGCCAGGAGAAGAGGGAGGCTTCGTAGAAACTGGCCAATGGGTGCTGAGAGTTTGCTGCAAGTAGGTTTTGCACAAAGCTTTCCCCAGCGCCCCGAGCAGAGAGCCACAAGGAGAAGCCAGTCCTTTTGTGCAGGCTGGGGCTGCAGCAGGTAGGGAGCTGGCCTCAGGGTCCTGTAGGGCTGTTGGCTGGGAGCCACTTAGGTAAGCATCTCGTTGCCAAAGCCTGCATCCCAACCCCTTCCTCCCCCAACTCCCTGCCCTAGGTCACCATCCAAACCCTCTGCATCCCCCCCTCCCCAGGTCACAACTCTCTCCCAGACCCTGCACCCCCTCCTGTACCCTTCCCCTACGCCAGAATCCTCTCCGGCACCCATGTTGCCTCCCTGACACTAACCCTGAAGTCTCTGCCCCAGATAACTCCCTTTTTCATCCAAACTCCCTCTGAGAACCCATACCCTCTGCTGCACCCCAGTCCCCTACACTGAACTCCCTTCTGTACCCACCTCCATAAAAAGTGCAGCCCTTGACAGCTTTCCAAAATCTTGTAGTGCCCCCCCCATCAAAAATTATTGCTCACCCCTGCCCTATTTTACTTGTATATGAACCCATGGAGGTTTTCACTATGCCCTATAGCTATCCCATAAAACTGCCCCTCTTCTGGATAATTTTGAAGGAAAGCCTAGATAACAAGTTTTATTTGCTCCCATAACAAGTTGGTTGGTTTTTTTTTTTCCATGTTCTGTCTACCACAACTTAATGCCCAAGTTGTAACTGGTTAGCTGCTTGTGGGAAGCAGCCACAGTGAATGGTATAAGACAGTGGTTCTTCAACTTTTTGGCCTGGGCCCACCTGGCTCGAAGCAAAACTTTCCGCGGACCACCAGTTGCTAATGGAAACTTGCCGTTAACTACGTAACTACGCCCGAGCCATTTTGCTAATGCTGCAGCTAGGGAGAATGGTTTAACTTCCTCATGTTAGTTTAATCATTTAAATTAAACAAAACAAGCCTTTATTTAAAATGAAGTTTGATAAAAGTAAAATATTAATTTGTCTGACACACAAGGTTTTGATTTTTTTTTTTTGATCGGTGGCCATTGACCCACAGAAAAATCAGTTGAGAGCCACAGAGTAAGATCCAAAAAAACCCTCCAAAACCACTCTAACCCTCACTGATATGGCTCCCAACTGAATCACCTTACTCCTGTGGCACTCCAGCCCCACAAGGCAAGGGGGAGGGACAGAGAAGACTGATGTTCAGGGCTTTCCATAGGCCAGATTTACTTTTCTGGGGTTCTGGAGTTAGTGGATTTTGTGGACCCTTCTTAGGCTCTGGGGTGGGGACAAATTAGGGGTTGAGGGTGTGGGATAGGGCTGCCTGTGAGTGGGTTAGGGATGGGGGTGAAGAATATGGGTGGGAGGTGGTGTGTAGAAGGAGGTTTGGGAGTAGGGTGCCTGGCCGGGAGGGGGAGGGTGCAGAGGTAGGCTGGGAGGGTGGGGTCTCGGGGGGGGGGGGCAGGGTCTGGGTATGAGGAGACTAGGGGGCATTTGCTTGCTTTTGAACCCTGTGCCACTCCCAGGGAGTGCGGGCTCCCTGCTGGTGTGGGGAAAGGGAGAGGCTGAGCTCTAGCCGTGGACCACCTGTGGTCATCGGATCACAGTTTGAGAACCGCTCGTATAAGAGAAATCTCTGCCCTGTTCAGAATACCAACACAGTAGTATTATGTAGTCAGAATTAAGAATTTCAGCCAAAAAAATGAGTTTTCAATTTCACTGACAGAGAGGACGTGGAACAGAGCACGATTTGGGTATGTGAGCACAGATGCTTGTTCGCACTATAAGTCAGTGTTTTAGGATACTTAGTAAAACTCTTATAATTGGGTCCCCAACAAGAGATGCTAGAATTTTTAATGTTGATATAGTAATTATTGTTTTTTTTTTACTTTTGTAGTTTATGATGAGAAAAAGAAATCTCTGTTTGGACAACTGAAAAAATATCCAGAGAAATTAATCATCTACTGTAAAGATCTTAGAGTGTTTCACTTCTGTCTGAGGTACACAAAGGAAGAGGAGGTAAAAAGGGTAAGTACAGCAGCTTTAAATCTGGATGGGTTATTAGCAGGGTATTTTAATTGTTGGGAAACGATGTAGGATTTCTGGAGAATAAGGAGATGAGTGTGAGAACAGTTCACTCAAACCCCTATGACCAAGCTTGCTTCTGAATCATTCACCATTTGGGTTGAACAATCATGTAAAGATTGTTGGGAAAGTAACTCTTTGGTTTGGTTAACTTGTTTCTTCAACCATCTTTTTTTGGATTACATATAACAAATGAAATTTATGCATTAACACTTCCACAGTGAAAATCATGGTAGTTTGGAAGCACTGCATTAATTGTTGTTTTAGGGGCTTGTTTAACTAAAGGATATAATGTAAACTGGCTTCATATTTGCTTGCACTGTCTGGCTACCCTTCTTCCTGCTACTGTCTCATCTGCCATAATAAACAAATAATTGTCCGATAACTTGGCATGCAAATTATTTCTTTTGATACTGAAGGATTTATGTGGCTTTTTTGAATAATGAAAGTAGTATAGTAAGAATACAAACCTAATTAAAATCAGTATCTTAAATTTTAGCTTTTGAATTGCTTTGCAGTTTGGCTAGCTAGTTTGCCTTCAGACTTAACTGCACTTTGAAAAGCTTTAGCACGTTTGGTGTATATATTTGGGATGTTAAATATTGTTTAATTGAATAACCTCATGAAACTTTATCGGTTAGTCGACTATTCTGTAGTCCCTGGGGGCAAGGTCAGTTAGCCACTGTATCGGCGGCAGCAGCAGCGCGCAGTGCCAGGTGGTAACTGGTCTATGAGGGGAGCCAGTTTAAAATCTAGCTTCCCTCGTGGACTGGCTACCTGTTGCCCTGTGCTGCTGCTTCTGAGAGTGGCAGCAGTCCTTGTCTGGGGGTGGGGCTGAGCTCCCGGACCCGGTGTCAGCCATAACTGAACTGGGCTGCCTGCCAACCCGGCTCCAATACACCTAAT